CCTCGCCTTCCTGATCGATCTGGGCGCCGACCTGTGGGCCGCGAGCCAGTATGTGCTTAGCGGTCGCTACCTGTGGGCCGCACTGGTGCTGGCGCTCTTGGGCCTTGCGTCGGTCGCGCTGCAGTTCTTCAGCTGGATCTGGTTGCGCTCCGACCCCCACGGCCTGCACACGTCGCAGCCCCCAGGCCAGTGCCTGGCGCTGCTGCATCTCCTACAGCTGGGCTACCTGTACAGGTGAGCGCCCCGCCCTCGGGGAGAGGGTTGGGGAACGGAGGTCAGCGTCACGTCCTGCAACTGGGCTGGTCCTACAGGTGAGAGTCCTGACTCCGGGAAGAGGGTGGAGCGGTGAGGACTTGGATCCAGGAGAGGAAACTAAGCCCCTCTAAGTTTAGTGGGCACCTCTGCCAACAGGTGAGCTCCCCGCTCTTGATGAAAGAGAACTCTGACAGCCCACAGAATTCATCATCCCTCTCCTTCCTGGTGCCCAGGTGAGAGGACAGAGAGGCACATGACTTGGAGTCAGACCTTTTTTGAGATCCAATCCTGGCTTTACCACCTGTGGCCTCATTCCTGCCTGTCACTGATCCTCGGTTTACTCCTCTGTTAAAAGGAGGTAGTGACCTACAGATAAATGTCGCCAGCAGGCCTGTGGTGAAGGGAGGAGGGGACAGTGCCCAGCACAGTGCCTGGCCACAGTGGACTCTGTTGACTACAGAGGAGCAACAGATCTCCACGTTACTTTAGCTGTGGGTGGGGCCTTGGGCAAGTCACTTGACCTCTTCAGGTCTCAGTTTACTCATATTCCAGTGGGGAGGGCCTCTGTTTGGTAAGGATTGTCAGTTGCCCCAGTGCAGAGTGAGCATGCGACAGACGTCAGCTAGCTACATGCTCAGCTGGGTCACCCTGGAGTTTCAGCAGCCCAGACCCCAGAGCAGCGCTTGTTCCCTCACCACCAGTGCCTCGCTCCCTGTCTTTCCTAGTTGTGTTCTCCCTGAACACTTGCTCCACACCCCACCCCACCCCTAGACCAAGCAAGAGGGCAGAGATGGGGTCTGACTCATCCATGTCCCTAAAGCCAGCCAGGACCCGGCACAGGCTGGGCCTGGAACATCTGTGTGGACTGTGCTCCTTTTCAGAACTGGCAGGGTCCTCTCAAGATGGGGAAACTGAAATGGAGGGGGCAGAGTCATGGGGTCAAGTCAGGACCTGATGTGGCCTGGGTTGGGATGGGATGGCCGGAGCCAGGATCGGCTCTTGAATCCATTTTACAGATTCTCTCCAGATCTTGCCTTGTGTGGAGTCTCCAGGATGGGCAAGAGGAGCTTTGAGTGTTGCAGTTTTGCCTGGGGGACTGCACAGGAATCAGTAACACCCCAGCTGAACGTGAAGGGGCAGTTATTACAGTCCTGAGTGAGCCCTGAATCTGTAATTACGTCATGCACCTTCTCTTCTTCTTTCTGTTGAGCATGAGTCTGACAGACTGAACTGGGCTTTGGTTTAGAAAACAGAGCCTCTGTTCCTGCCTGTGACTAGGCTGAGGACCCTGCTAGGGCCCCAGGGGGCCAGAGGCCAGAGCACCTACTGAAGGAGAGCCCCAGCCCAGGCCTTCCCATCTGCTCCCTTAGCGTGCTGTCAGGTCCGTCCAGGAGGAGTGCCTGTAATTGTCAGCTGAATGAATTCACAGTGAGTGAGCAGGCTCCCCTCCCAGTAGCCAGCTGAGATCAGTTCTGGGCGAGGGAGATTTGGTGTGTCCTCCACTCCTGCCTCATGCCAAAGGGCCATCCTCTGGACTCTCTTAAGTCTGCCCCATCTCTGTCCCCATCTCTCTGGGCAGGCCTCTTAAATGGATCCCTGCTTCTGATCTAAGCTCTCCAACTGTCCCCTCCCTCCTCTCCACAGCCAAGGTGCTTTCTCTAGCACAGTGTGACCTGCCTTGCCCGTGCTCAGACGCTCTTAAGGGTTAGGGCTTCCCTTCCCCCAGGATCCTAAGAAATTCTTACGCTTGCTCAAATTTGAGAATGATTATTTTAGGCAGTTTCAGAGTCTGCCTCTCAAAGTCAAACAGCTTGGGGTCCAAATCCTATTTCCACTGCTCATTAGCTCTTCGGGCCTGTTTCCCCATCTGTAAAATGGGGATGTTGGGAGAAGTAAATAGGACAAGGTTTGTGATGAACTTGGAACAGTGGCTACTGCAGAAGCATAGCAGTTTTATTTATCCCCATTTTACAGATGAAGAAACAAGTTCAGTGAGGTTAAGTCGCTTGCCTACGGCCCCACAGCAGGTAAGTGATGAGCTAGGATCAGAGCCCGTCTGCATCTGCTTGATGGGTAGGGAAGGAGGGAGGCCACAGGACGCTAACCAGGCCCCTCGGCACATCGTGTGTACTACCTAGGTGCGTGCAGGGGCTGCAGCAGGGGCTGCTGGTGTGGCGGCAGGAGGCGCCCTCTCAGTTCGACTTGGCCTACGCAGACTTCCTTTCCCTGGACATCAGCATGCTGCGACTCTTTGAGACCTTCCTGGAGACAACTCCACAGCTCACGCTGGTGCTGGCTATCGTGCTCCAGAGGGGCAGCGCCGAGTACTACCAGTGTGAGTAATGGGCTGCGGCCAGCTCCCCGTTGACGGCTTGGGAAAGTTTCCCGCAAACATCGGAAAGGTTTTCACTCTTTTATAAAGGCTGCTTAGAAAATAGGAGAACATCCTTTAGTCAGGCAGGTCTGGGTTCAAATCCAAAGTCACTCTCTAGCCTCAGGCGTTTGGACAAATGACTCAACCTCCCTGAGTCATCAGTTTGTTTTCTTCTGGAAAAGGGACATAATAAATGATCCTACCTTATATGGTTAATGAAAGGTTTCAGTGAAGTGATGCATATAAGGCATACAAAATCTTGGTGGTAATTTTTAGTATTTTGAAGATAACAGAGGAAGTGTAGGGTGCCTTGTGCATGATAAGCAATTTGTTAATCAATAGATAAATTACTGGGCACGTTTATGCAATCAGGGTTTTACTGAGCATGTTTTATGTCTGTCCCTACGTTGGGGACACCAGTGAATAAGGAGGACACAGCCCCTGGCCTCCCAGGACAATAGGCTGTAAAGTGATAGTTACAGTAAAGCGTGTGGAGTGATCTGAAAAGGGAGAGGCGAGTGGCCTCAGAAACCACAGGAGAGGTGTGTAAATGACGAGCTTTGGGAAGATTTTCTCCTGTAAAAGGGAAGTGAGTTGCTAAGGTTACAGGCCAGCTGGTGGCCAAGTTAGGACTCCAATTCCATGTCTCATTGGAAAATCCAGACCAGGGCTGTCTGAGCGTGGAGAGGAGGGGAGTGGGAGCTGTTCCATCCATACAGCAAGGACATCCCTCCTGGCTTCGGAAGGTAGCTTTACCCCATGGGGTTTGCTGCTTCCCTTTCTGAGACTGAGAGGGGGGAACTGGATGGCTGGTTTTCAGATCTAAGAGAGGCTTGGGCTCTTCCCAGAAAGGAAGGGTGACAGGGCCCTAGAAGATGCTCAGGGTGTGGCCGAGGCCCAGGAGCACGGGTGCTGGGTGACCGGGGTGCATCTCCCTCTGCGGATTCAGAGGGCGGCCTGTACTCCTCCATTTTATGTAAGGGACCTGAGCACCTGCGGATTTTGGGAACCAATCCTCTGTGGATACCGAGGGATGACTGTGTTTTGTTTGTCTATTTAAAGGCAGTGGGTGTCTAGGAGCAGGGCTAAATGGAGACAGTCTACACTGTGTGTATGGACGGGGTGGGGATGGGGGTTTGAGGGAAGAGACAGGTTTTCCCAACTTTTATTTAGCAAACGTTTATTCAGCTGCTGTTACATGCCAGGTTCTGGGCTGCTTGGGGATCCCAGGGGAGCAGAATCTGTTTCCTACCCTGAAAGAGCTCAGAGATGAGGAAATACTTACTGTGAGATAAGACTCCAGAGCAGGGTGGGGTGTTACAGGACAGCTGCACAGCGGAGTTGGATGGGGTGGGGTCAGGATGGGTGACTCTAGGGGATATCCAAGCCGGAACCTGGCAGGGTAAGGAGGAGTAGGCCAGGGGAAACAGGGCGTGGGCCTACCCCATATCAGTGGCAAAGCTTGTCAGGTCAGAGAATGCGGTGCGTTGGGCGAACTAGGGGAACATCAGCTCTGCTGAGATGTGGAGTGTCAGGTCGGTAGAAAGGCTGAAGATCTGATTCCAGGCTGGGAATGGGTTTCTGGCCCAAACCAGGTTCCCAGTGAACATCTGTTGACTCCTCAGTGCGGTGGGCAGGGGGCAAAGGAGGAAGCACTCTAGAGATGTTCCTGTGCTGCCGCCACCCCTCCCTGGGTGGGCGAGCAGGAGGTGGGATAGGCTCCCCGCCGTAAACTTTGGGTCTCGGAAAATCTAGACCAGGGCCCAGTCTGAGCGTAGAGGGGAGGGGAGTGGGGGCTGTTCCATCCGTACAGCCAGGACATCCCTCCTGGCCCCGGAAGGTAGCTTTACCCCATGGGGTTTCCTGCTTCCCTTTCTGAGACTGAGAAGGGGGAACTGGATGGCTGGTTTTCAGATCCAAGGAAGGCTTGGGCTCTTCCGGGAAAGGAAGGGTGTCAGGGCCCTAGAAAATGCTCAGGGTGTGACCAAGCCCCAGGGGTGCAGATGAGGGTGTCTAAGTCACACACCCTCTCGTCCTTGAAAACTGTCAGCATGGTAGCACCTTCAAGGAAAGCTTTGTGGTGAAGGGCAGACCCCATGTGAATCCTAGCTCTGTCTTGGGTTGTGTGAACTCAGTGTTCTCCAGCTGTCGTTTTCTCTTCAACCAACTGGGGGTCATAACACCCAGGTCAGTGTGGTTACAAGGGCCTCCGCGGTACCTGTGGCCTCTAGGGAGCGCCGGGCAGGCTGCCTGAGGGCTCACCTGTCTCCTCTTCCTCTTCGTAGGGGTCAGCATCTGCACATCCTTTGTGGGTGTCTCATGGGCTCTGCTCGACTACCACCGGGCCCTGCGCACCTGCCTCCCGTCCACGCCCCGCCTAGGGCTGGGCACCTCCGTGATCTACTTCCTGTGGAACCTGCTGCTGCTGTGGCCCCGAGTCCTGGTCGTGGCCCTGTTCTCAGCCCTCTTCCCCCGCTACGTGGTCCTGCACTTCTTGGGCTTGTGGCTGGTGCTGCTGTTCTGGGTCTGGCTTCAGGGCACGGACTTTATGCCGGATCCCTGCTCCGAGTGGCTGTACCGGGCGACAGTGGCCACCATCCTTTATTTCTCCTGGTTCAACGTGGCTGAAGGTCCCACCCGAGGCCGCGCTACCATCCATCTGGTATTCCTCCTGAGTGACAGCCTTCTCATGGTGGTCACCTGGGTGACTCATGTCGCCTGGCTGCCCAGCGGGAGCCTGCTGCAGATGTTGCTGCCTGGCGCCGGCATCTGCTTCCTTCTGGGGCTGGCTCTGCGGCTTGTCTACTACTGCTGGCTGCACCCCAGCTGCCACTGGGAGCCTGACCGGGTGGATGGGGCCTGGGGTCTGCGCTCCCTTGAGGAGCGTCCGCTGCCTCAGAACAGGCGCATGGCCCAGTTGGCTCAGAACTTCTTCCCCAAGGCTAAGGATGCACCTGCTTTGCTAAGGAAGGGAGAGGTGAATGGTGTCCTTTGAGGAAGGGAACTAAAGGACACATGGAATCAGTTGGGACAATGTAGAAGATAAGCTACTTATGCTGCTATGAGCCTTGATTCACTCAATAAGCACTTGATGCCTGATCTGTCCCAGGCATGGGAGACCAGAGCTACTCAGACAGAGGCCTGCCCTCAAGGGAGGGTCAAGGGCCCCAGTTATGTATAAAACACTTTGTGAGGAAAGAAGAGACCGCCCTTTCCTACCCCCATGACCGGTATAGCCAGTACCCCAAAGCATGCCAGTGTTAGTATTTTATCCCCCTGGCCACCTCTAAAATACTTGGTGGAGGTGCTGTCCCACCCCTGGGGTCCCTTATCCTGCCCCAGGACCTCCAGGATGTGTTCTGTGGAATTCCGCCTCCCTTGCCCCACCATCATTCAGTTCATTCAGCAATTGTTTACAGAGGGCATCTTATGTGCCAGGAACATCATTCTATTCTTGGCAGATCAGCTCCCCTCTAGCTTCATCCCTTAGACTGTCCAGCTCCTCCAGAGCGGGCACTCATTCTGGAAGCCAGGGCTGCCCATCTGGCTGGCTCCTGTCAGTCCCTCCAAGGCCTTAGTGCAGTCGGCCCAGCCTCTGCCCCTGCTCTCAAGGGGTGACCTTTCAACCAATTGCCTTAGGAACCTGTCTGGGCCATGGCTCAGCCCATTAAGTATTTTTTTTTTACAGGCAGTGTACTTTCTACCTCAGAGGCTGTGTGGGAGAAAGAGGTGTATGTGTCTCTGTAAGTGAGAGACACGTGTGTGTGGTTTTTGTTGAACAGTATTGTTAATTATTAAAACCTCATGAAATCCTCCAGCCTAGTTGTGTCATTAAGCTAAGTCTACTGTCGAGTTCAAAACTGCCTGGAAAAAAGGGGTCAGGGACACAGAGTCCATCCGTCAAAGTTGGTAAATGTCCTGGGACTGAAGGGGTGCTGGCTTAGGCAAGACTCTTCAATTTTGTTTGAGTGTCAGGAGCTGGTGAGTCAGTGTGGAGTTGATCACTCACATGGGCCTCAGAACCCAGGTCTGGGCTGATTCTAGTGTGTGCTTTTAACCAGCTGTGCCTCTGAACCTGGCGGGAGTGGCCACGAACACCTTTGGTATCAGGAAGTGATTATGAGCACAGGTGAAGAAAGGTCTTTTTGCTGGGAGCTCACTGGGAGAGCGGAAGTGATGAGACGTTGATGTGGATGGTGGTGTCAGGAGACGGAAGCTTTTGAGGCTCTGGGAGTTCTGTGGTTTGGAGAAACAAGGAACAGGAAAAGGACGCTGGAGACAGAAGGGAAGGTTTGTCACCACTGGGATGGCACCCAGGATAGTCTCATTTCCGTCATTCATTCATTCATTCTAGTGAGATGAAATAAACATGATAAGTAAGAGTGTCACATAGCGTTCAGTGCCGAAAGAAAGCTAAGGTGGGGAAGGGGACAGGGAGAGCATGTGTGTTGTGGGTGGGAGTTACAATTTTATATAGATTGGCTGGGAAGGCCTCCCTGAGAAACTGATAAGCCCTAAAGGAGGTGAGGGTGAGAGCCACACAGATGCACTTTATCCCAGACACCAAGCCAGCAGGGACTGGATGAAGGAGGGCTTGCCGCAGTTATATTGGCTTGGAGCCAAGACACAGAGATGGGGCTTGGGATCAGGGAGAGGCTCTGGGCAGGTGATGCTGGTGCCTTGCATATACGTAGACTGGTAGAGGCAGAAAGGATGTCCACAATCATTCAGTCTGCTGATTTCCAGACTTTTGAATTTCATGAGCCAGTAAAATGGCCAACGTGGTTGCCAATTTAAGAAAAGGGCAGAAAGAACTACCATTTATCATCTTGTGGTATCAAGGGTATATAACCACCTCAGAAAAAGGATTAATTCTTTTATTTTTTTTGAGGGGGTAATTAGGGTTTTATTTATTCTTATTTTTAACACCGTCATTGTGGTATGATTCCTGTACATTTATTTACTTATTTTAATGGAGGTGCTGGGGATTAAACCTAGGACCTTATGCATGCTAGGCATGTACTCAACCGCTAAGCTATACTCTTCCCTCTAGGATCATTCTTTTAAGTGAATACATTTAAACACACACATTTGCACCACACATAAGTGAAGTCATTATTTTTCTCAACTCATGGGGAATATCAATGTTGAGACCTCAGAGGGCAGGCTTGGCCTTTATAAATCTCTAGCTTAGTGTCCATCCTAGCCTCAAACATAGGTTTCTAAGGGTTTCACTTAAACAAATATTTGCTACATTTACTTTTCCACATTTATTCCCATCATATGTGGAGAAGACCAGGCTTGGGAGGTGCCAGGTATGTCCAAACAACAGACATAGCGTTTTAGGGCTATTTCCCCTGAGAAAATCCAAAAAGACGTGTTTTTAATTTTTTGGCTAAGCTCTCATCTGTACTCTCTTGATGAAATTGTCAAATGAGGATAATAGGTGTGTAATTTTAAAAGCTGTGGAATTTAGTGGTCGCTTCATTTGTAAGTAAAGTTTACAGAATCAAGAATTTGAAACAGATGAGTGACATTACTTGCAATTAGAAATTTCTTTTGAAGATTTCCATCAAGATTTTTTTAAATGTTAAGAAACTTGTTTTTGAAGTTTAAAAAATTCCCTTGATTTGCTCATTTCAACCTGCCACTGAAAGTTTCTTGAGAAATGCATAGATTTTGTTCTTATTGTAGGGGAGATGGAGGTGTTTACTCTTTGAGCTTGAAAATCAATCAACTCTAATACTTGTAATTCTGGCCAAGTAAGGATATAGCAAGTTTGCTTCAACTACAGCGTGGCTGGAAATGTGCACCTTCTGATGAAAAGATTTAATGCCCCAGAATACAAGGCAACCCCCTCTTTTCTTGGGGGAATTAATTTTGGGGAAAAGTACATCGTATAGTCTGACGTGTATGATACTTAGAAATTAGAATCAAATTCTAATCTCCTTCATTGGAATAAAAGAGAAAAGGATTTTTGACTGTTTCCCAGACCAATGAACAGTCAAGACTCAAATCAAAAGAAATGAAAAGAGAAAAAGTTGATGTGACATGAAATCAGGCCAAATCAAACAAGGTTTGATATCAGTTTATCAGTTTTATTGCTTTGGCATTTTAAGCTCAGCACAGCAAGGTATTGATTTCTCTTTAATAATTAAATTTCAGCACATTTGACAGCAAATGAAATCTCTTAGTATTCCAGTCCTAAATTTTGAAAAGCAATATATTTTAGAAACAATTAAGAAATAAATTTTCCCTTGCAAATTATTTAAAAATATTTTTTATTTTCTCATGTACATTTATTTATACCCAATGGTTAGGTGTTTTTTTTTTTAATTTTTGGTGAAATTAATGACTCAGTTATTCAAGGGTGCCATCTTTCTAATGAGCTCTTCAGATTTTTATGAAGCCCTACTTAGGAGCCTACTCAGCTGGGCAACTGGGCTGACCCTACTCAGAAAAGACACAGGAACAAACCATATAGAAAATAAAAACTTTATTTTTTCAAGTTTATAAGATAGTTCCCATTACATACAACATTATGGTCAAGGACTCTACAGCCACAAATGCCCGCAGTCACATAAATATATCCAATCAATGCCTTTTCCTGCTAAATGAGGCATCTGAAGACCAGAGGGTCATGTTTTGAGTAGAAGTCGTCCTTAATGGGATGGCTCCCATCAGTGCATTGGGAACTAGCCAAGTCGCCTTGCTGCTAGAGCCGTCTGACTCAGGAGAGGAAGGGACCAGGGGGCGTGCTGATCGGAGGTGGGGCAGAACTACATTTTCTCTGATGATTTAAGATCTTTTAGAATCTCAGAATTCAGATTTGGCTCCTACAGTGTGAGTAATCTGGGGAGTTTCAACTTTTGGATGAGAAAGAAAAACTAATTTAGTGGTAAGAAATGAAAGCCTGCTTAAGAGAGGTCCTAACTGCCCCTTCTGCAGGAGTGAGAAGTCCCCAAGCTCACCACCCCTTAGCTTAGACCATCGCTCTCCCAGGAAGAGGGAGAATGTGGCTCTGCACCTCTCCTCCTCCCTGCCATGGTTCAGTGGCACTGACATCCATTCAAGGTAGAAGCTCCATGTGCTGCAGCTGGAGTTTGCTAATCAGATTCTACCTGGAGCTTTAATGCGAACAAGTTTGTGTAAACTGCGAACAAGCTGTGGCACAAATCTCCCAGGACACTAGCTTTGCCCAACCCCCCAACTTGCAGAGCAGAAGACAGGAACACCCCAAACCAAATAAAAGCCTAAACAGGCATCTAAATCTGGAGCAGGCATCCATTCTCCGGGACACCACCAGCTGCCCCAGGGGCACCGGACAGGGTGATGCTAAGGCACAGTCAGTTTTACATTCGAAAGTAAAGCCACCTCTTAAACCCAGGACACACCTGACAACTCCAGATCCCCTACTAGAGACGGCCCAGCCCTTATCACAAAGTGTGCAGACCCATGTTATAGAACCCGCAGTGTCCAGCTGGGCAAAGGACTTATCACGTGGTTTATTTCATGGGGACTCTTTCCTGGTAAAGAGGACTTCCCCTGTGACGGAAGGACTCACAGTATCCTTTGGACCTCAGCCTCCAAGAGCTCTTGGTGCTACCCACTTTTTTTCCTTTCCAGATCTTTGTGCTCGGGAGGAGGAAAACACAGGGTCAAAAGAACAGCACTGTGTTCCTTGGACAATTCACTTTGGCAAAGAGGAGCCAGGAAGCTCCCATTTTCTGTCTGCCTTCTAAACAACCAGAAAACAGCAAAGATGGCAACTGCTCAGAGAGCTTCCTCGCCTCTTAGCCAATTTCAAGTTCCTTTTGCAAAGACCTAAGCTGAACAGTCAGAGCAGGAGGGAAAAGGCCATTGAAAAAGGAGTCCAAGTCATAGTCTAGGAATAAAAAGCTTCTCCCAAAGGGCAGGGAGAGGAAAATGTGTGTGGACCTGCGTGCATGATGGGGTACCACTCTGCAGTCTCATAAGCCTGAAGCACAGTACCAACAGGGCAGGAAACCAACAGCCATACTGCCCAGAAGTAAAGACCTGCCCCAGAGCTAAGATCAATTACCAAGCAGAGCAGAGCAGCATCTGGGCAACTATGCTGAATTCAGACCAAGGGAAGTTCTGCCCGAGACCACACATCTCTTGTCCAAAGAAAACAGGCCAAAGAGGCAGCTGACTTGAGCTCCTCTCCAAAAACCTCTTCCCCAAAAGGGAGTCATGAAGCACTTTCCCAACCAGTTCTGAAGGAATGTGTGCACCAGCCTTTTTCTGCTGCTATCTGTGTGATCTGGCATTGGAAGGAGTCTGGCCCCTTTGTGCTGCAACATCTCTGGAAACGGACATGCAGAATCTCTGAGTACAAGCAATTATAGCTGGGGTTGGTCAAGGATGCCTCCTACTAAGGACCCAGACTGCATCTCTCTGAGGTGTTTGTATGATCACCTTTCTCTATGCAGCCTGGGAGATGCTGAGCTTCTTTAGCTCTAGGGAAGTTTATTCTGCCTGAGCAGATGCCCCAGTTGGTCTTGGAGGGATGGGGCATCCACCAGCACAGCTGGGCTGGAAGGCTGGGACTAGTGCCTGGGCACCCCCAAGTCGTCCTAGAGGTCAGGTTGAGAGATGTTCCTACATTTGGCCCAAGATAAGGTTTTCAGGCATGGAGTAGGGGGTCTAACCTCATTTAAATCAGAAGTCTTTCTGGCCTTCTGGTTTCCCATTTTAGAATAGGATTTGAGAAGCGGGGAGGGTATTCCGTATTCCATGGGAAAACTGCTCTTCAGTTTATGGCTATGATCTGGGTAAATATATGCCCAGACCACCTTTCACAGGGCTTAAAGGATTCAAAGGAAGTCAAATCCTTTGGTAGTTTTGGCCAAAATGTGATTATGAGCCTGTTCTCAGTGAATTGATCACTTGGGTCCAAAGCCCAGGGACTGGCCAGAGCTTCAGGGAGGTGGATGTGAGTACAGAGGGCAGGGAAGGGGTAAGGGCCCTTCACTGATGACTAAGAAGGGGGAGGAGGCAGTAAGGGTGGGCATCTGCTGGGGAAGAGGCCTTCTCAGCAGGAGGAAAAGGTAAAATCTTCCTGTTTCAAGAGGCAGAGAAGCAGAAATTCCTAAGAAGCCTTACTTTCTTCTCTCCAGTTTGGAGGCAAGCCCCCTGGGACATAATCTTTGAATAAGAGTCAAGCTGAAGGCTTACAATTTACTGTCTAAGAGAAGGAGTTCCTAGGGTTGTGCCACTTGGCGAAAGGGAAGAGGGATTGGGAAGGTGCCTAAGGCTTCCAGGATGGGAACTACCAACACCTAAAGTTACTCAGTGTCCCATGCCCCACAGTCCAGCAAACTAGGAGACGGAAGAGCAGGAAGGAACCCACCTAGAGAACAGAGCACTGGAGCAGCCGAGAGGTGCCCCTGTCACAGAGAGGTATCTCAGATAATCTCAGTTATGATTTTCCAAGGAAACTTTATACACCCCTTTCTTGATAGAAAAAGAAAGGGGCGGGGGGAACCTGCTTCAGAGACCAGATCCTTACCTATAAAAATAACATATACATTCACTGGGAATATGTTCTACAGCTAAGGAGATTATAAAGACTGCAAGAGATGTTATTACAAAACTCTGCTGCGTTTATCCTATCACCACAAGTTAACAGCAGTTCTCAATCTGGTCATGGAAGCAGAGAGCAACTCTGCCCCAAGAAATTCCTTTTCTTTTTCTTCATTTTTTTCTAAAACAAAACAAACCAAAAAAAAAAAAACAACACACACACACACAAACAACAACACCAACAACAGAAGAATTAAAAGCACGGTAGCTGTGGTGAGTCTATTGTTCTCTCAATCCAACTGTCTGCCACTTTTGGGTGAGGAACACGGGGCTGCAGCTCACTCTGAGCAAAGACAAGCTTCATCTCTTGCAGCTGTTGGTTGTGATTGTGTTCTCGCCAGCATTCCATGGAGAAAGACAGAGTTCCCAGCTGGTTCCGGTCTCTAGCTCCCTTCAGACGCAAAAAGGAGCTCATGGGGTAGGCTCTTCATTCCAGTTCTTAGAGAAAATCAAGCTCCAAAGCCTGGTGAAGGGACACCAGGTCTCCGTGGTTTGTGATCCTCCAGAATGGCATGTTGTGCTGGAAGAGGGGGGTGCTGGTTAGTCCAACTTTTTTTGGGAGCTGATACTTACCCAAACCCCATCCTCCACAGAACTCGCGCCCAAGTACCTGGGAACCCTCTCTACTCCTGCCCACCTCGCAGGACTGTCGTAAGGATCGAGTGAGTCATATGTATAAGGACTTTCTATCCTATAGGATACTTACAAATGTGGGAGAGTTTCATGAGGGTTCAGTGTTAACTCTGATTTTATGATATACTTGTTCTAGCTACTCTATAGGATCCTTAGGATCAAATAAAATGACCCCCGTAAGCAATTAGTACTATTGTAACATTTTCCTACAAATGATCAGCTTCCTATAAGGTTTTGAGCTACAAGGCCCAAATCTTGTCCATGACCAAGATGCAATGCAGAACATACAGATCTAGGAAATAATCATCCCATTATATTATGTAATCAGAATCATGTCCAGAATACCGTGTGCCATTCTGGAAGCCACGTTTTAAAGAAGGGCTTTCAAAAACACGGGTGTTGGAAACCATGTTCTCTGAAGCTGATGGAGATGAGCTTTACTGACGGTCTTGTTTACACTGGTTGCAAGTTACCTCGAATACTGAGGTCCTACAACATATGTGCTACATAGCTCAGTGTTTTTTTCAAGCCTGCTGCTTGCACAAAGTATTTAAAAGGCTTTTAATACACAGAAGAGGAAGCAGACTTGTTACATTGTGCTCAGAAGTGCCAGACTAGGACCAGAATGCAAAAATTAGAGAACTTTTAGTTCAGTGGAAGGAGGAACATCCAAATAGCTTGGCAGACCCCACGGTGGAACAGGATCCCTGGGAAGCAGTCTCCTCAACCTTGGAGGTATAGTCAAGCAAGGACTAGAAAGCCTTCTGTCAAAGAGGCTGCAGAAAAGATCCCTCACAGGGAGGAGACTGACCTGGATAGAGCGCTAAGGCATTTCCAGTGGGTCTGTTCTACAGCAGATGATTACAAGCATCAGCTTAGAGACACCAACTCTGCTACTGAGTTGAGTTGTTCTTTTATCTCCCCTGCTCCTTTCTTCTTCAGACCAAGAAGCACTGACGCCTACATCCACAAGTGTCTTCCCCAGAGGGCAACAGCGCTTTAGAATCAAAGATTTAGGGATAACACATGAAATAAAGGTCCTTGAATTGCCACATAAAGTGAATGAATGAAACATAATGAGATGATAAGGCCACATGATTACCAATCGCATAATTCATTCACAGCTGCTGAAGGTTTGTGTGTTAACTGCATGGAGAAAATCAGGCCAGATGGTCCTAGCAGGCAACCCACTGCCTCCAAGTGTAAGAAACAGAGTTGCAGGAAGAAAAGTGGGATAAAGAGGGAACAAACTTCTGTAGATTCATTTGGCAGATGAAGACTTCTCAAAGAAAGTAAGTAAATTGTCCAAAGTCACAAAGCTAATAAATGGATGAGATGTGAACTGCCTGAGTTTAGATTCCATAGCCAAGACATTTCATCTACTGTTTTCTGTATTAAGAAGGGAGGACCTAGAGTTGGGACCTGAATAGTGAAGAGGTTAACAACAATCTTTCCAGGGCTCAGGAGCAGGAAGGACTTTCTCTTGAGAAGGCACTGCCCTCTAAGACAAAGACAGAAGATGGGGCCTACATCAGGTTTATTGATAAGGATCCTTGTAGCAGGACTCAAAGATTTTAGAGTGGTAGTGAGGAGGGAGGGTGGGAGGGAAGGATCTAACAACTTATAAGGAAACTCCACATGGGGAAAAAATAACTTTTTTTCTTCAAAGAAAAATGGAAGAGGACGAGGAGGAAGAGAAAACACTGTAAATGCACAACAGATAGCTAAGATTACTGAGTTTTACCATTTTTCTAATTGCTCCCTGCATTCCCACATAGACAGTTTTCTCTACCATGGTTACCTGTTTGGCTGCAATTTCTTCGTCTCGTCCATCTCCAATCACTACATATGTGACTTTCTTTCCAAACCTCGACACAATTCTCTCGAAGCAGCTCTCCTTACCTGATGAGAAAAAGAGATTTCCTATTAGGCCATTCCTCCCTAACTTTTTTTCAATACCAAAGAAAAGGGCTGCTGCTAGGTTCACCTGCCTGTGCTGAGACAAAATCCCTGGCAGCCCATATGGTTTGCTTGGTGGGGAGCAGGGGTGGCACTGAGAGACCTCTGCCCAAAGAACGTGAACTCGTGCCACTCACACAACAGCAACAGGCTTTCTAGGCACTGTGCTCTCTAGGTTCTGGTTTTAACTTTCACACTGAGGTGAAGTCCCTAAGATTAAGATCTTAGCGTGGGGAGTTTCTATAAATGCCGTGCACACTACCTCCCTCCTGTACTTTACAGCATACCAAGCAGTTTCCAAAGTATTCCTTCACTTAATTCTCAAAATCATCTGGTGAGATGGGTCCCACCCGCTATTTTAACAGATGAAAATGGACTCAAAGGATGAATGACTGGCCCCAGATCACATACAGGCTAGTAGCTAGATTATGAGTGCCTGGCTCCAAGTCTAGGCTCTGCTCATTGTGCCATGATGAAAGGACGATTTCTGAGGGGAAACTGTGACAGTAAGAAAAAGTGGAAGCATAGGTTCCTGATTACTGTTTAGTAACAAGCAACAGACAAACAGCCATTTCCTTCCAATTCCACATTTCCCAGAAACAGTCCCGGGCGCAGGCCTATGTCAGGGTGTAGGTGCCCCAGATCACCAATGGATGTGGCAGCAACATTTGTCCACCTGGAATCTCCTCACTATTATACTTTGTAAGCGCAACTGAGATACTGTATCACTGAAATTGACCTTGGGAAATAGGTGACTTTAATCCACTGCAGGTCATTCTTAGAACCATGACCACATGTCAAAATTCAAATCCTACCTGGAACCAACAACTAAAACATGCACAGATGATACTGCTGTGGCAGAGACACTGGATTTGCATAAATGAATAAAAAGGAAATTTTTTCTCCTGCTCTTCCTTCATCGTCTCCTACATTTTATTTCCTGTTTCTGCCACCTTCTTCAGTTAAGCAAGGCTCTAACTCTGCTCGCTTTTTTTTATCCTGCTTCATTAACCTCATCCTTTCTTCTTGCCAGATCCAGTGACTTAGCATCAGGGTTCCGTGTGAATAAAAAGGTCTTCTTCCTCAAGGCATTCGACTGCCATCTGCTGGAAAACTATTGTAATAAATATACAAATACACAGACCTATGATGATTACATCATAATTGACAAGAACCTATACACCCACACTTAGAAGTCCTGACTGGCACGTCTGAGCAATTCCAAGTCTATCACATCCCCAGCCCAAGTGGCACCTTAGCCAGGGGGACTAGTCACCTGGACCAAATGCCAGTCCACTTGGGGCTTCAGTCTCCCACTCTTAATACAAGCCCTGACTCAGGTGCACTCATGTCCCTTTCAGTGCTTCTATTTTACAACAGCACTGTCATGCCTTACATTCCTATCGGACATTCAGGCAATGTTTGATGAGTAAATACATACTGATCTCACAAATGATTCAGGGGATGACTCTAGTGCATGTCTTCAGCCCCAATTTAAACATTAAATAATTCAACTAATAATGAATTCTTAATATGTTTTTATTATGTGTCAAAGAGTTCTTTGTCTAATTCCATTCCAACCATTATTACATCCTTACAACCTAAGTCAACTTCTGCTGGACTCACAGTCTAATTTATGATCTATAAAAAAACTTTTAAGTCAGTAGGATTTTAGAATTTTCCCCTAAGACCCAACAAAGGGGATATCTCATATTTAGAGGACAGGAACATAGAGATGTTTTCATTGTCCTGGCATGTAATGATCAAGGATGAAATACAATTAGGAATGTTTTCTCTAAAAGGATTAAGAGCGGGGAGGGTATAGCTCAATGCTAGAGTGCTTAGCATGCATAAGGTCCTGGGTTCAATTCCCAGTACCTTCATTAAAAAATAAACAAACAAACTTAATTACCTCCCCCCTCCAAATAAATAAGTTAAAAAATAAAAGGATTAAGAGACTGAGAGAGTTATTAACAGTTCAGAGTAAAGAAGTAGCTACATGAAAAACTAATTCCAATACACTTTATACTCTCAAAACAGTCCTGGAGATGAGCTTTTCTGTTCAGGAGGATGAGACCAATGACCAGTTAGCTCACCAAATGTCAAACAACTGAAGCTGTGAGACCAACCACACCTTTGGAGAATATCAGGTTCCTGGGTTTCCTGTATCAAAAACGCTTCTGACATTTTCAGAAATGATTTTGAGAATTCTCTTCAATGTCCAAGATCACAGAGTGGCCATTAAGAGAACTAGAATTCTGAAATCATTTCAGAGGAACTGAACAAACACTTCCTCTCCTCGCTCACATTTCATAGCTCTGTGAAGAAAAGCCTCAAGCCTCTCACTGTGGTTACCATGGTGCCAGGTAACACTGCAGCTTTGCTAATTAGCTCTGGACGAAATGAGAAGATCACCCAGTAAGTACACTTGCTGTCAGAAGGAATAAAGTCATTTCCACTAGTGTGATGCACCTTTGGGTGCCAGGACTGAGTATAATAAGCACTACAGAAACCTCCCTTTCAGGGATGGAAGGCTTACTGACTGCACTGGGTTCTTATGAAATGTATCATAAAGCAGTGGCAGCAATAGCAAAATCTGAAGGAGGGGTTTCAGGTACACCCCCTCCGCCCTTCAAATCCCTTGTAAATGAAATAATTCAACCACTGAAAAAAGGGGAATAAAAATAAATGCCTGTATACCTACCACCAACCCAGCTTTGTCTTAACACTTTAGATAAAAAAAATACAAGAACAAGCTAGCACAGATCTATTTGAAGCTTCCCATGTACCTACTTGATGCTCTTCTTCCCCCTCCTTTCTCTCCAGGAGCATATATATCCATAAACAATGTACAGCATTGTGGTGAACTTTTTTTTACCTTTATATAAATTTTGCATACTGTACATATCTACCCACAATGTGTTTTTTGTGTTCATTGTTGTTTTTAATATTAATCCTTAGGGATGTAAGCAGTTTTAGTTCATTCACTTTTAATTGCTATGTAGTATTCCATTGTTTGGAATATATCAATTTATTTATTTTCTGTCCACGAACAGGTTCATGTGTTGTTTCCAATTATTTTCTATTATGAACAAGGCTGCATCAAAAAAAATTTTTTTCCTTGCATACGTTTCCTTGTGCAAATGAGAATTACTCAAAGGAAGGAGTTGGCAAAGTTTTTCTGTAAAGAGACAGTAAATATTTCAGGCTTTGTAGGTCATATGATCTGTTACAACTATTCAGCTCTGCTACTATGGTGTGAAAGTAGCTATGGAAATGATTGGGTTTGGTTCTGTTTCAATAAAACTTTACAAAAACAGGCAGTGGGCAGAATTTGGTATGTGGGTTATAGTCTGCAGACCCCTGCACTAAACTATACATATCTAAAAGTAGAACTGCTTGATCATAGGGTTACATACATTTCAAACTTTATTAGACATTGACAAACTGTTTTCCAAAAAGAGTTACATCCATTTTCAATTCTACCAGCATTAGAGTCCTCATTTCCTTGACAAAGCTTGGCACTGTCAGACTTAAATTTTGTCAATCTGATAAAAGCAAAATGCATCGTATTTTAATTTGCATTTCCTTAATTTGCAGATTCTTAATTAGTGAAGTTAAAACACTTTTCAAATATGTTTACTGACAACTTGGGTTTCCTTTTCTGCAAATTGGCTGTTCTAAGGTTTGTGCCTTTTTTTCTGTTATGCTGTTTGCTGCTTATTTATTTGCAGGAGTTTGTTATAAATTTGGTATACTAATTAACAAGCAAATGTATTGCGAATATCTTCTCTCAGTCTGTGGCTTGTCTTGTCACTTTAAATCATCTTTCATTGTATATAAAATTAAATCTTCATGCAATCAAAATGATCATTTTTTTAAAATACTACTTATGAGGTCTCTTAAATGAGACCCCTTCCTACCTTAAGGTCATACAGATACTTTTGTATATTTTCTTCTAAAAATTAGTGTTTAAAAATAAGTAAACTAAAAAAAATTAGTTTTGCTTTTCATGTTAAATTTTTTATCCACCTGGAATTTATTTTTGCAAATAGCATACAGAAGGAATACAATTCTGCTTTTTTTCCCATATTAACCCAATTATCCTAGCACCACTGATTGAAGGTAAGTTCCATGAAGACAAAGGATTTTGTCACTGCTATAGTCCTAGTGCCTTGGCAATGCCTGACACTTTAATGTAGTAGATTAAAAAATGAATAATCACCACTCATCTCCAAACTAGGACCCTTTCCTTTCCTGAAGAAGGAAGTAAGAACTGTAGGCATAAAGGGTCTGGGCCGGGGGGGGAGGCGGGTAAAGAGATAGCTGTCATATTCCTCTTTCCCTGGACCATGTACAGCACATAAAGATTAGAGTGAGACATTCTGCTGCCTTCTCAGAGGAACATGTTGGTTTTTATAAACCTGGTGCCAATTAATTAATCAATTTATTGAGTACCTACTATTTCATATACTTGGTACTGAAAACATTTGTAGAGAAAAAAGTATCTTCACATACACAGTCTCATTTGATTTTCAAAACCTCTCTACTAGTTTCTTATTTTACATGAGAAAATTGAGGGTCAGGAGATAACAGTAATTTCCCTAAGGTCAGAGCTAATAAGTGGAGAGTGTAAGGACTTGAATCCCAGTCCTCAGGTTTTTCTCCACCCCTCCCCAAATTGTGGTAAAAAACACATAACATAAAATTTATCATCCTGACCATTTTTAAATGTACATTTTCAGTAATATTTCATATACTCACACTGCAACAGCTGTCCAAAACTTACTCACTTTGCAAAACTGAAATTCTATCCTCACTAAGTAACAACCTCCTATTTCCCCTTCCCCTAAGCCTGTTAACCACCATTCTACTTTCTGTTTCTATGAATCTGACTACTCTGGGTACCTTACAAATAAGTGGAAACACACAGCATTTGTCTTTTTGTGATTGGCTTACTTCACTTAGCACAATGTCTTCAAGATTCATACATGTGGTAGCATGTTACAGGCTTTCCTTCCCTTTTAAGGTTGAAATAATATCCCCCTGTATGTATATACCACATTTTGCTTATCTATTCATTCGATGGACATTTGGGTCGCTTCCACCTCTTGGCTATTGTGAATAATGCTACTATGAATACAGGTCTGCCAATGTTTTTTGAGATCTGCTTTCAATTCTTTTGGATATGTATATCCAGAAGGGGGATTGCTAGATCATACGATAGTTCTATTTTAAATTTTTTGAGCAATCACCATCACAATACTGTTTTCCATAGCAGTCGCACCATTTTATAATCGCACCAGAAGTGCACAAGGGTTCCAAATTCTCCACATCCTCACCAATAATTGTTGTTTTCTGTTTTTTTGATAGCAGCCATCCTAATTGGCATGAGGGATTTAACCATTTTTTAAAAAATAAAGTTTCCAAAGTATACTTTTTAAATTCTATTTTTTTTCTTTTCTTTTTAAAAAAAATTTTTTGGGGGGGGAATTAGATTTTTTTTTTTAATGGAGGTACTGGGGATTGAACCCAGGACCTTGTGCATGCCAAGCATGCACTCTACCACCAAGCTATATCCTCCCCTCCAATCTAACCATTTTTTAGTATACAGCTTAGTCCTTGATTTTTAATCTAGTTTTCTGATTATACTATACACTACAGCGCTCTCTCTGTGAAAGAGGAATTTGAAATGGGGCAAAAGTAGATTTCAAAACTAGATATGCTCTTTCAAATATTATAAAAGAACAGAACATGATATGTTTTAAGTCCGACAGACCTGGATTTGAATCCTGTTTACATACTTACTAGCTGTGAAGCCTTGAGCAGCTACATAACCATTAAGCCTGAACTGCCTCATCAGTAATAACAGGAGAAGAGTGCAGCGAGGACTACAGATATATATATATATATATATATATATGTAAAGTGGGACCGGTAGATAATAAGCACATCTTAAGCAGGAAGTATTACTGTAAGGCCAGACAACAAATACAAACCATACCAATTTTGGTAGCACTGTAGATGTTTTCAATAGGAAATATTTCTCCTAGTCCATAGAGGAGAACCTTGGCCAGAGCTGGAACCAGCTGGGTTGTTGTGATCAGAACATTCACACAATTCTTTCTGGAAGGGAAAAAGAAGGAAAATAAAAGAAAAAGGTAAAATAAAACCAACCTGGGAATAAGAATTCAAATGGGTCTTGTCTGTAGGATCTACTTGTGAAAAATTAACCTCTAAGTGCCTGGTATGGTATTTGTTCAGTGCCAATGTTCAGTTATTGCTCTAGTTATCTCAGGTTTATTTATTTTCCATATTAAAGGACAGAGAGTGGTGGACACAGAGGAGCAACTTGATTCTCGTCTCATTTCCCTTCTGACCATTCTGGCTCACTGCATTGTTAGCAAATACCACTACGTCACTGGTGGCACACTCTAGAAAATAAACAACGAGGCTTTCCATTACTATTTTATCTGAAATAACTCAGCCCTTAAGTGAGATATGATTTAAGTCCTTTCTGCTCTTCACACAGTAGCAACATAAATTCCACAAAACACATTATTTTCATAGGTCCTTTACTTTCACAGATATCCCCCCCTTGGTGCCAGTTTTACTGTCTGGTCTACTAGGTTGTGGATCTGGAATTCCTGCTTCGAGGGAGGGACAAATAAGAGTATATATTCAATTTCTATTCTAAGCTTCAAGCTGAAATCTCCTTAATTTGCTTAATGGATCTTGCCTTCCTGAGTAGGTTTTGGTACATTTCGTTGGAGCTACCTGTACTTAGGATACTTGTGACATATCTCTTACATGTATATTTTGATGTCGTCACCACAGGCCCACCCATCTTTTGGGCTGGAGATTCTGGGTTACTGAGTATAATTTTGTGAACAAAAAGTAAAAACTTTCAAAAACTTGAAGGTGTGCTGTTAAGAGTCAAACGACCATGGCTCCCATCTAACCTGATACTTCCCTGCATAATTAGACTCCTCTCAGCCCTGTCCCATATCTCGTTTTAGGAAATGGCCTATCTTGGACTGGGGTAGGAAAGTGTATCTCTGGGAGGATGAGATCTAAAAGAATCATTTCCATACCTGGACTGGATGAGAAGTAAGGACTTTAATGCAGTTCCTAACCAGGAATCTGTTAAAACTTCAATTTCTGCTCTTAGTCTCTGCAGTGCTTCCTTTCTCTGGGGGCTGAGGAGGCCTTTGGGAATAAAAGTAGACACATTCATCATTTGACAACATATCCTTGCTAGCATCAAGGACGCAACTTCTAAATTCAATTTAGAAATGGTGTGAGTCACTGAAATATTCTACTGAGCATCTCTCTCCTTGGTAAAACCCTAGAGCATCCTACTCAAAGTATCTTTCTGACTTTCTTCATCAGAATATTTCACTAGGGGTGGTACAGCTCACAACAATAAAATCAGCTGACAGAAATACTGTGATTAGGTTCTGGCACAAGCTCTTCCTTTCATCACCAACCAGTAACATAATTTGCAGAATTATGCAGGACCATACTTCGAGTAGCACTGCTTTAGATGTAACCTCAAGAACCAAAGGGGAAAAAAACTAGTGTTACAGCTGGAAAAGTCTGCAGCATTTCCAATCTCTTTCTAAAGAAACCAAAGCCCAGGGAGAAAGGGGGCTGCTTAAGGTTACACAGCAAGTTAGTGGCATTTGGTCTCGGAATTCTTTCCACTACCAAACACAGCTCCCACGATGACTCACCCCTTTCAGAACACATCAACCTGAGATTCCAGGTTGAATAACCAACTCTCTGGATATCATTTATTTGTACTGCACTTCTGAAACAATTCCAGCTCACAAGAGACGAAAACATTGCTTTAAGATCAGATAATTAAGCATAAAACAAAACAGAATTCATCTGATGTAAGTATGTTACTGGACACTTGAGTTATAATATTCTAATAATAAATCTGGCACTGAATTTTCTGTAGTGAAGGGAAAAAGAGAGCCTGTGTTCTATTACCAATACTCCATAAAAACAGAAGGCTTTTCTCGGAATAGAACTGTGTATAATTTGTTTTCAGATTGTTGGTTTCACAATGCAAGCCTTGAATTAGATCACTTTCAACATTTCTGATAAAACAAAACAAAAACCAGACCAGTATCTGTTTGTCACTATGCATATACATAAGCACATATGGGTCATATACGTAACTAATAATATGATGTGGTACTTTGTTAATTGGTATTTTACAAAATACGAGTGGACATTAGTTTTACTAAATTCCCCAGGGTAGAGTCGGGGGATTCTCATGAAGGGTTATATGTCACTTTCTTCAGGAATCCAGGTCCAGACACTCACTGGGCAAAGAAAGGATCAGACATGTAGGCTGTATATGAAAACTAACAAAAGAAAGGCTAAAGTCTGTGAGATAGGAAAAGTGAAGACTTGGAGTTGCCCAAATAAAAAGTACTGGCTCTGAATCATAAGGAGAAAAAAAAAGCAATAAAAAGGGGAATCTCAAAAAAGTAAATTAGATTCCCAAAGCCAGATGCCTATGATTTTTTCTGGTATTGGAGGGCTGTAACAGGAATGCACCATACTATTTTTACTTTCTGCACCACACTGTGGTGGTATGGCAGGCAGGAGCGCTCTCTTGACCTAGGGAAATATACTTTGAGGCAGTCTAGGGCATCCCTGAAACTTCAGGCAACGTTTTGTGTGTATGTAGGAGGTGTCTGACGGTGATGGTTCATAGTTTTCAATATTTTCTCACAAAGGCATATCGCTTAAAAAGGAACTGCATGAATGTAAAGTGCACTGGACCCAGATCTGGGGAGTGTGGATTCCAGCTGTGGTGTGGTCACTAACTTGCTATGTGACCTGCCCTCATTACCCTCATGATGTACCATTAATTTTATCAAATGCAAAACAAGGGATTCAGAGTAGTTCTCTAATGTTTCTTTTAATCTGAACATTCTGTAACTAATTCACTAATTCTAAATAATAGAATTTTAGGCATAAAATGGCACCTGACATTTGAGATATTTCTAGGCAGAAAGGTCCTTCAAATCATAATACATGGATACTGCTAATCTATAATCCTGGACCTAGTTTTCCATCCACTATAAACCAAGTCCCTATTTCTACCTGATTTGTCCTGATGGTTACCTAAATCATTCAGAAACCATGGCAAGCTATTAAATATGATTGACAATAGTTGTGACTCTAGAGTAAAATACATGTCATCAAACATAATCTATGGAAAACAATTCCCTTAAAAAGGCACCTGTCTAAAAAGAATAAGAGAACTTGGCAAAGTTATGCTAAGAGGAGTCCATGAGAAATGCAGAGCTTCCTCCTCAAGGGTTTCAGTTAAACTTTGTTTTTTTAATACAGAGTTAAAATGTTACTGTGCCACAAATTCATAAGCCAGGGAGTTCTAAGGAATCCCTGGAAAAGAAAATGGGAAATCAGAAGGAAACAGAAAATTGGACTGGCTGGATGCCACACTTACCACCCACGTTGCTTTTATGCTTATCATAGATTTCCCTCACTTTTCGGTAGCGGAAAGCCAGCTTCCTCATCCAGTCGACACCTCCCTGGACACCCACAGAGGAACCATGGCTGCCACTGCCTCCTGAGCCACTGAAACCATCTGTTGAGAAACTGTAGTTGCTGCAAAGAGAGAGGATGACGAAAATTAAAATCTACACTGCATGGAATTTTTGGGGCGAATGCCACTTGGGATTCTCTGTCCTATTCCTGGCACCTGACATCAAGGCTTTGGGAGTCTTCTTCCTTAATCTCTGTATGTCAGAGTCTATCTTTCATTAATCCTCCATCTTACCCCTATTACTTCTATCAAACAAAGGATGGAAAGGGAAGGAAAGAGAGACAGAAACAATTCAAGCATCAGCATCCCATCGAGGCTAGCTTCAAATTGAGCATCTTTTCATTTATGACAAAAAATATCTTAGAGTGAAAAAAAAAAGGATATAAAACTTTTGTGTATGCAATGACTGCAACTATGTAAAAAGGAGAAATTGAAAAAAATGGAAGGAACTAACCCAAATTCTAATAACAGTAAGAAAATGAGGGTGTTTACCTCCAGAAACCTGTTCACTAGTTTATTAAGTTCATGAGTCACCATAGGAGCTATAAAATGTCCACAAATTCTTTAATACTCCTCTCTTCTAATTCGGCTCCCTTTGGGTGTGGACTGTTTGAAAGTACACAGAATGTGGTGGAAGTGATGGTGTCAGACTTAGAGAACAAGCTTCCCTTGCAGCACTTGCTCTAAAAGAAGTCGGCTGTCACATGAAGAGGGACACATAGTGAGGACTGAGGCCTCCTGTTATCAGCCATATGTGAGAGGTTAGAAACAGGTCCTCCAGCTCCAATCCAGCCTTTAGATGATTTGAGCTCCAGCTCTCTTGATTTCAATCTCACAGACCCTGATTCAGAACTGCCTGGCTAAGTCACTTTCAAATTTCTGACCTACAGAAACAATGTGATGATAAATGTTAATTGTTTTAAGCTACTAACTTCTGGGGTAATTTGTTACACAGCAATAGAAATAATTAATACAGTTAAACAGGCAGGGAGGGATTAATACTTGCTAAATAAAGACTTAAAAATGACTGACAGAATTAGAGACAACTTGGTTCAATCAAAAGCCAAAATAGAGTTCAATTATATGTGAGATTCTATATTTAAGAGAATATAGATGCCAAGACATGAGACGGTAATAACTAGTTAGCCATACATATAAAAGAAAAAAGAAATTAAAACAAAAACAAAAACCAAGGGTTCAAAGTGGATCATAAACTGCTTTAGATCAGGCTTTTCCCTAAAAAGGCCAGTAAAATCTCTTAAGAATGTGCCCCCATGGCCATGCAACACACAACATACAGGACTGGATGCTGCTCCTAAAGTGAAACCCTTCAATTCTCGGTACCACAAGGCCAGGCCCTTACTGGTATGTCCAGTTCTGCTCTAGATTTGAGAATTCATTAAAACAAATTAACGTGAAAAGATGTGACAATGTTTTTTCTAAAGGTCTTTAAGTACAAGGAAGATAAATTTTTGGATCTTCTTAGCTAAGACTACTGGGCCAGAAGACAGTGGGCAAGAGAGAAAGGAGACTGAGCAGGAATTTTTGCCACTGAGACCTCCTTGGTTTAGCGTTCACTGTGATATTAATGTTTAAGATTGTCTATCATTCCTGACACCATCCGACCCCCACAATTGTTTCCTTGGTGAAATTCCTGATGCTTATTTGTTTCTGAAACTAACTAATCTGGAGGCGTACTTTTCCTTACTGAAAAAACTGGCCAAAGACAAACTAGTGTAATTTTTTTTCTCATCCCATCACGCTGCCTGTTCTTCAAGTTCGTACTCTGTGCTGAGAAAGCCACTCCAGTGTTGGCGCTAGCTGCTTTCCACACCCCTCAGAATTACTCTCTTTTCTGTATTCTATCACATTTTCTACTGCCACCTTCTCAGAACGCATGCCTTCGTTAACTATGTTTGTTTCTACCTCCACTAATAGATTGTAAGCTCTTTAGTGCTCTTATTCATCTCTGTTTTCCACTGAACCCAGGCATAACAGGTGCACTAATGCTTAAGCCATCATTGGTTTTTATCACCTCAGGTCTTGGCCATTGTCATCAGAAGCCACATCTTCCACATGCACCTGGTCACATTCCTGTTAAAAGACAAAACCACACATTATTTCAGTCTGGGGAGGAGACATGCTATTACCACCATGATATATTGTAAAAATACCACAAACAATGGTGGGATGACAAAATACCTTATGGTCTTTCTAAAGTGTGGAGGATCACTCTCACCCCCCCTTATTGTCCAACTTGTTTTAAGGCCTAATTTACGTTCCTCCAACCTCATAAAATCTTCCTTAAGCATCCCAACCCTCAGTTATACTCTTATTGCAATAGTTCATATTTCCAACAGCCCACGGGTATAAGCACAAGCTCCCGTACACTGTCAGGTATGCCTAGTCCTGTAACAGACTGTAAGTCCTACTATAGGCCACTTATGGCATGACCAATATCTTACATCTCCTTTGTACACCTCTGGTCTAGTCCAGTGTCCTTATGTAGCATCTGCTCAGTAAATTTTTGCAGATGAAAGAGATTCTGGTAGAGTATGTGTGGTATCAAAACTGAGAATGACTGAAACAGAAATTTGTAAAGTCAAACTTAGGAATTGGAAGAGGTCATCTAAGTCAATCTCCTTATGTTCTAAAAGTGAGGTCAAGTGATTTACCCAAGGTCATAAAACTAGTGAGTGGCAGAAAGAAACTAGAAGGAGCCTGAGTCTTCTAATTTGAATCCAAGATTCTTTCCTCTAAGCCCACATGACTACTGACATAAAATGCCACCCGCTGCCTGACTGACAAGAGTCACTTCTCTGACACTGCCTAGGGCAGTGCTGTGATGTCCATCTGCATCAGAATCCTCTGGGGAAGATTTTAAAAAATGCATATTCTTGAATCAGAATTTCTGTGAGTGAAGTCCTAGACTCTTCATTTTTAACAAGGTCCCCAGGTGATTCTTATGCCCCCTAAAGTTGAGAACCACTGACCTGGGGGGCAGGAACACATTCAGGTCAAATTCTTCACAGAACTTTCAGTCCTGAGTGAGGACTATGTCTAGAAAATCATTACAAATACAATTTGGCAACAATTATTGGCATATAGTAGGTTTTCAAGAAATGTTTGCTGAATAAAAACTGTAATGTCCTAACTTATCAACATGTGAAGTTGAGGGGAGATTAAAGCATTGTGGAGCTTATACAAAAGTACTGGAGTTTAGAGTCCTATTAATTTAATTTTTTGGTGAACTGTCTGTTGAGTAGAACTAGATCGTATTTAAAAAGAGGACTACTTCATATTTATAGAATGCTATCTTATTTTACTTTTTCACTGTTAAAAAAAAAAACTAGGTTTTATATATATATAGTACACAGTTCAAAATTCAAAAGGACATTAAGTGACGAGTCTGCTCCTTCCCACCTCTGTGTCCCAGCAACGCATTCCCATCCTCAGAGAGAACAATTGTTACTTGTGTAGGATAACTGATTAACTGAGGCCTAGAATAGGGCGATAACTTTCCTAACTTGGGACTTGCAGCCTGGTTTTCTGAATCCTAGTCCTGTGCTCTTTCTACTACACCATGTTCACCTCAAAAGTGAACTAGTCAAAGCCAAACAAATTCACCAAGAAGCTCTCAGTGTTTCCTAGTTTCCCTCCACCTAACTCTAAGATGATCTGGAAATCAAGGCTAACCTATTCATGGACAATAACAACATGAATACAATACAATGAGTTAGAGCAGCCATTTACAGCCCTGACAAAATCAAGATACTATCTTTTAAGAAGGTAAAACTGAAGAACAGTCAAAATAGAATGAAGAGCACAAATAATCAAACCCACCTTCTATACAGTATTTAATACAGATGAGTAAATTAGAGTGTTGGTTTATATGTCAGTGCTTTGCCTGATGGGTTGGTATTCCCCTAGAACTAGGTCACTTCCAAACAGGGTAACAAAAATCATATTTTGAGCCAATAAAATTGAGGCTCAGAACCAAGACTGTGGTGACCTAACCAAGGCAGTATTCTTTCAAGACTATGGATGCCTAAGTGCCCAGCTGGCCTCTCCATACCCACCCTGTCTGACCACATTTCCTCTAAATACAACAAACACGGGCTCAATAAATAGTTACTGAACAAAATGTTTCACTGTAGCACACAAACAATTTTAAAATGCTTACCTCTAAGTCATTGAAAAACAGATGTGTATCAGCCACTTCAAAAATCATTTCTTCCATTGTTAAACCTGAGCCAATCACTACTGTTGGGTCCTGAAAAACAGTAAGGGGAAAATTTGCTTGACTTGGTACTCAGAGCATTGGTCCTGATCTTCAAATATTTCAAAATTATTTTGGGTCAAGGCCAAAACAACAATGGCCCACAAGAGTGTGTCTAACTATCACTGATGCCATGTCATTCATAGTTATAAGAATTTGGGATTGTGCGAAGTTAAACATTTCAGAACTTTAGTTTCTAGAAAACTTAGCCCACTTAAAAAAAAAAGAATACTTAACTTTGGGGGAAATTTTCTGTTTCAGGAGAAGTTCTAACTATTGCTAAAATACTGCTATTGTAACACCCATTATGGTCTTACACACACTATAACACCAGAAGCCAGTAGTCTGACAATCTCAACAACCAAAAATTAAGTAAAGAAAGGCTGAAGAGTCAAAATATATGAAGGACAACCAATGCACTTAGCTTTAAAATGGACTATGAATCCTTCACTTAAAAGCTGTAATGCTGTTTTTTATATACTTTGATAACCAGTTTTTTTTTATACAGCATTTGAGCTTATGTCAGCTTGCCAGCCTAGATACTAAAAGCCACTGGAAAGTACTTCTAACAGAAACATTATTGACGATAAGAAATAATTAGGAGTAAAAGTAGGAGAGTAAAGGAGGCAGTTATTTTTATAAAACATATTCATAGAAAGTTAAAAACAATAGGGTCCTGAACGTAATTTAGTATAGAAATATACAGCCAATCTCTCAAACACAACTCATCCCTCTAACAAAACTGATGTTTATACTGATGACTAAACAAGTTAAATTCTGCTTGGTGTATTTCATTTAAGAAGGTTATAATCTATTTTAAAAAGATATTTTATATTTTGTCTGTATTTTCAGTTTACAGATCTGGCATATACTCAGCTAAATGAAATGCTCAGTTTGGGCTGTTAAAAAGTGACTTAAGGGATAACAGATGAGTCTCTGAAACATATAATCCTGAGACTCCACTCTGCTTTGAGCCTCATTCCCATACTCAGTCTTACAAAATACCACTTTTGAACAACTTCAGCTTTCAGTACTGGTCCTAGGTCTAGTCTCTAGTTTTATCACTAACTCTGCCTGACTGAGTAGCCTGCCTAGTACAAGCCATCAGGTGAGGTTTTACCTGAAAGTGAAAGGTCAACAGGGTAAGATGGAGGTAACAGGGAAACTGATTTTGATTACCTTGTCAGGAGAGGGAGGGCCAGTTACAACAAAGGAAGAAAGATTCAAATTACCTTTCCATATTTCTGGGCATAGGATCCAGTAAGAAGGGAGTGGAAGATGATGATGGTTTCATCTAAGTCCCACAGAAATACCCGCTGAGTGAAGAAAATATTAAAAAAAAAAAAAGAGTAAGCATCTTTCCCAATCATAATGGAATGAAACAAGAAGTCAGTAACAGAAGTAAAACCAGAAAATTTACGCATGTGTGAAAATTAACATAATCTTAAACAACCAATGAATAAAAAGAAACAAGTGAAATTAGAAAATACCTTGAGATGAATGAGAACTAAAACAACATACAAAAATTTACGTGATGTTGCGAAAGCAGTGCTAAGAAGGAAACTTACAGCTGCAAATGTGGATCTTAAAAAAGAAGATCTCAATCAATAACCTAACCGCACAATTTAAGGAACTAGAAAAAGCCAGCAGAAGGAAGGAAATAAGGAAGGTTAGAACAGAGAGAGATAAAGCAGAGAGTAGAAAAATAATAGAGAAAATCAACACAACCAAAAGTTGGTTTTTGAAAAGGTCTACAAAATTGACAACTTTTAGCTAGACTGCCTTAAAAAAAAAGGGAGAAGACACAAATTACTAAAATCAGAAATGACAGTGGGGATATTGTTACCAATTTTACAGAAATAGAAAGGATAAGAAAATACTATGAAGAGTTATACACCAACAAATAACCTAAATGAAATGAACAAATTCCTAGAAACACACAATGTGCCAAAAGTGACTCAAAAAGAAACAGAAAATCTGAATAGACCTTTAACTGGTAAGGAGGTTGAATCAATAATCAAAAACATCCCAAGAAAGAAAAGCCCAGGGCCAGATGGCTTCACTGGTGAATTCTTAACACACTGATTGCCCACTGTGGATCGGGTGGCTCTAAGGAAACACAACTGTCACCCAGATTCGGGTGACGTGGTGATCAATGAGTTAAGGAAGAATTAACACTAATCCTTAAACTCTTCCAACAAGTTGAAGAGGTGGGAACACTTCCTAACTAACTCTGTGAAACCAGCATTACCCCTGATACCAAAGTCAGATAAAGACACAACAAGAAAACTGCACACCAATGTTTCTTATGAACACTGATGTACAAATCCTCAACAAAATAGTGGCAAACAAAATTCAGCTGCATTATACACCATGACCAAGTGGGGTTTGTTCTCAGAATGCAAGAATGGATCAACATAGAAAAATCAATGTAATAATATCTCATTAACAGCATTGAGGAAAAAACCCATACAGTCACCTCAATTGATAGAAAAGTCATTTGACAAAATTCAATACATTTTATGATAAAAACACTCAATAAACTAGTAATGGAAAGGAACTTTCTCAACATGATAAAGGCCATATATGAAAAACCTACACCTAATATCATACTCAGTGGTGGAAACCTGAAAGCTTTATCCCTGAGATCAGCAATAAAAAGAAGTATGACTGTTTTCATCACTATTTTATATTCAACATGGTACTGGAAATTCTAGCCAGAATAAATTCGCAAAAAAAGGTAAAAGAGGCACCCAAACTGGAAAGGAAGATGTAAAACTATCTCTGTTCGCAGATGACATGATTGTACACAGAAAAAACCTTATAGAATACACAAAAAAATTGTTAGAGCTAACAGATGAATTCAGAAATCAGTTGTATTTCTATACATTTGCAATGAATAATCTTAAAAGGGATTTAAAAAACAATTTCATTTACAATAGCATCAAAAAATAATAAAATACTTAGGAATAAATTTAACTAGTAGTTCAGGACTTACACACTGAAAATTATAAAACACTGCCGAAGGAAATTAGAGAAGACTTAAACAGGAAGACATTCCATGTTCACAAATGGAAGACTTAATACTGCTAAGATGACAGTACTACCCAAAGTGACCTACACACACAATGCAATTCCTATCAAAATCCCAACAGTGTTTTTGAAAGAAATAGAAAAAACTCATCCCAAAATTCATGTGAAATCTCAAGCAACTGAAGAGCCAAAATAATCAAAACAACGTGGTATTAGCATAAGGATAGACACATAGACCAATGGGATAGAAGAGAGAGCCCAGAAATAAACCCTTATATACATGGTCAATTGATTTTTGGGGGACGAAGATACCAGGATCATTCAATGGGGAAAGAAAAAGTGTTTTCAACAAAAGGTCCTGGGAAAACTGAATAACCATATGCAAAAGAATGCAATTAGATCCTCACTTCACATGTAAAAAAATTAACTCAATATGGATCAAAGGCCTAAATTTAAGAGCTGAAATAATAAAATGCTTAGAAGAAAACATAGGTGAATTATCTTCATAACCTTGTATCCTTAACACTAAAAGCACAAGCAATAAAAGAAAAACAGGACTTGGTCAAAATTTAAAACTGTTGTGTATCAAAGAATACTATCAAAAGAGTGAAGACAACCCACAGAAAATATATGCATATTGTATACTTGATAAGGAATTAATAGCTAGAATATATAAAGAATTCCTAAAACTCAACAACAAAAAACCGCAAATAACCCAAATTAAAAATGGGCAAAGGATTTGGACATTTCTTCAAATAAAATAGACAAATGGCTAATAATCACATGAAAAGATGTTCAACATTATTAGTCATTAAAGAAATGCAAATCAAATCACAATGAGATACCACTTCACAATCTTTAGGATGGATTATCCAAAAAATGGGAAATAACTGGAGCCCTGGTGCACTGCTGATAGGAATGTAAAATGGTGCAGTCATCTGGAAAACATTTTGGTGGTTCCTCAAAAAGTTGAACATAGAATTACCATATGATCTAGCAATACCTTATACCCCAAGTAACTGAAAAGAGGACTCAAAGAGATACCTGTGTAGCAGTGTTCATAGGAGCATTATTCACGGTAGCTCAAAGGTGAAAAAAACCCCAAGTGTCCATCACAGATGAATAAACAAAATGTGGTATATACACAATGGAATTATTCACCCATAAAAAGGAATGAAGTTCTGATACATGTTACAACATGGATAAACCTTGAAAACATGCTAAAGTGAAATAAGCCTGACACAAAAGGACAGATATTGTATGTATGATTCCACTTATATGAAATATGTAGAATAGGCAAATTCATAGTGACAGAAAGTAGAACAGAGGTTACCAGGGGCTAGTAGGAAGGGAGGATAGGGAGCAGGGGTGCAGAGTTTTTGCTTGTGATCATGAAAAAGTTCTGGAAATAGAAAGCAGTAACAAACAACATTGTAACTATACCTCATGCCACTGAACTGCACACTTTAAAAATGGTAAATTTTATATTATATATATACTTTATCACAATTCAAAACAATAAGTGAGTCCTCAGTTTTTCCCAAGAAATATATCAGAACTTTCGATTTTCTTTCTCCCCCGGCCCCTCTTTCCCCCCAGTAACAAAAGAGAAGACAGGTTCCAAACACAGCCTCAATTTACCTATGTCTTGTAAACAATTGTCAATGGACTCACTTTTAAATACAGCTTTTTTTCGCCTTATTAAATGACCACCTTATAGAAAAACTGAAAAATGAAAAAAAGGGTTAATATCAAAACCCCATTATTAGAATTTTATATGACTTTCTAGTCTTTTTACTAATGAAGCCAAATGCATGCCCATAACAAATTCCTATAGTGTTTAATCACAGAATAAGTGAGTGCCAATCTCATAAGTTGCCAGATCTGGTTGTATGTTTCACAGAAACTTGCGCTAAAGCACTTCAGTCCTCTCATTTTGAGATTTTTAAATGGAGAACAGTATGACTTTACTGTGACACCCCCTGCTTTCTGAGTATGGTGCACTGTTTTCTCTGTTCTCCTTTGGGATACCGAAAACAGTTTGTTCTTTCCCTTAAAAAGTTACCTGGCTACTTAAATTCAAAAAAGCTTTTCTGATGCTTCTGGTGAAAAGGATCTTGAAGTAATTATGGTATGATGTGAACAGACAAATGTGTTTTTGCATTTCTCTTTTCTCTTGGCCAATTCATTTTCTCTTGTCCAGGAATGAAAGGGTACACAACATAGAAGCACAAAATCTCCATGAGTTTCAGATATATGTTTGATTAACTTAAGAAATGAGGAAAAACAAAACAAAAACAACAACAACAAAAAAGAAAGCAGGTAACTCAAATGAGTTTCTTCCCATACTTCTAATTCACTGTCCTGGGAAGAGCTGGCATCAGCTTTCCTTTTGCCCCGGTTCTTGCCAGTCATGTTTTTCCTGGACTGGTCATCAGCGTCTTTACTTGGTGTAGTCTGGGACAAAGACGGGCTTGTAGAAGGGTCTCCTGGAAAGGAAAGGTGAGAGACATGTATTGCCAGCAGTCACAGGCTATAAGAACCTGAACAGGAAGGTCAGCAGGTTTTCTGCCCTTAAGAATCACACTGCAGCAATCAAGGCTGGAAAACCATAATTTACTTAAGCAGTTTGGAAATGTAGACCCAGGAACTGAGCATCAACAGCTCCCAATATCACAAAGAGAGTTATAACTAGAATATGCCTGCCTCCCAATGGACAAATACACCTGTAAAGTAATTTTGTCAAAAAAATAAATAAATAAATAAAACCTGAATCTGATCAAGCTTCTAGATCAGAGTTTCCCACTTTGGCACAATCGATATTTTGAGCCAGATAATTTTTGGTGTGAGGGGGTGTCCTGTGCATTGTAGGATGTTTGGCAGTGTCCTTGGCCTCTACGCACTAGATGCCAGCAGCACCTCCTTCCCAGTGTGACGATCAAAACCATTTCCATACATTGCCAAATATCCCTGGGTGTAGGTGCGTGGGAGTGAAGGCAGAGGGCACAAAACCACCTCCAGTTGACAACCACTGCTCTAGATCCATTCACCAATTTACAATAAAGTACAGAAGGCAACAGGATGTATTAAACTACCCTATCTGGTTATAATTGGCAAAATTCAGACTGAGAAATGGTATGGGACAATCTTGTATCTTCAACAAATAAATTACAACGGGAAATTTTAAAGAGATGGGGGGATTTGTAGATTAAAACAAAATTCATATCCACCAATCACAACATATGGACCTTACTTGGATCCTAATTTAAACAAACTGTAAAAAGACAAACAAAACTCCAAACATTTATGAGAAAACTGGAGATATAAATACCTTTTGGTATTTTATGATATTAAGGAATTACTGTTGAATTATTTTAGATGGAATAATGGCATTGTGGTTATGTTATTGAGTATTTATCTTTTGGAGATATAATACCTGGAATTTGAGGAGAAAACTGGATGAAGTATAGTTGAAACAAGATTGCCTATGAGTTGTTAATTGTTGATAACTGACAACTTCCGTCTATGTTTAAAATTCTCCATTATTAAAAAGTTAAAATTGTTAACAAAGAACAAAGATATTTAGAGAAATGAATTCAAAAGTAAGGTATCAACACATGTAATTATTTCAAAGTTATGCCAGTTTGAAGCAGCGACCATCTGGGTGTCCATTTACTTAGAAGAGCAGTAGAGGCAAAATGCACAGAACACTGCTTTAGGTGATGTAGAGCACTGTTTTTAAAGACGTGTCAATGTTAACAATAAACAGTCCTTCCTTGAGTTATATGATGTGACAGTGAACCACCATATTTTCTAGCGGTAAGTAAAAAGTACATGCACATATTTACTGGATGTGTGCATAAGCCTTAACATCAGGGTTTTTGAACATGGGCATCATAATTCATTGGTCCATTTTAAAGCTATGGGCTTAAATTTATTTCTTTAGGGGAAAGGACCATAACTTTACTCAGAATTTTAAGGGGATCCATGAAACAGAAAAAGTTAAGATCTACTGTTTGAGGCCTCACCAGGAGTCCAAAATATGCACAGACTAAAACCAGAGTCCTCGAAAAATGTATAGAAAAGATTCTGAAGTTTCCTGTGCTAAGCATGTTAAAATCATAGGGAGAGTGGACTGGGAGTCATAAATAGCCTTTATTCTGATACTCTTGTTCACAGCATCAGGTATTACATTCAGTCTGTCACCGACTCACCACAGTCTGGCTCCAATGTAAATACGCCTCACCTGACAGGGCAAGCCAATGGCATGGTAATGGTGACTTAGACCAGAACAAAACAATCTTCACCATCACTTGTTGGATGAAATGCCCATAAGCCAAAGTTTTTAGAGCTGCGGTGCTTACCAGAGGAAAGTCTCTGTGCTGCAGGCGCAGGAACCATGACACTAGGCTTCTCCGTCTGGTATGTGGCTGCTGCTAAGGTGGTACTCTCAGCATCACTGTTAGTCTGGCCTGTGACTCCAAAGCTGGAGCTGGGGTAGCAGGCCTGGTACTGACTCTGACCAAGGATAGTATATGTGGGATAGTCCTATAGGCCAAAGGGAATAAGGGAGGAAATAAGACTCTTAGAAGAAGAGTAACATTAATTTCAACACAAGAGACTTTCATGTCCCTCTTATTTATAATTATTTCACTAAAATGTTAATTTGACTTCTCATTTACCTACCCATAGTCTTCCATCTAAACCAACAATTTTCAAAATGCATTCTGTGGAAACCTAAGGGTGAAGAGGAGATGCCTCAGGGGCAGTCTTTGGGATGAGGGTGAGGCTGAGAGAGAAGTGTCCCATGCAATCTACACACAATGTCCCTTTTCTACTATACAGCTCTTTCTTTTTCTACTTTATGGAACTGTTGCATAAATTTCTGCACAGAACTTTTGAAGGAAAGATTCTACTCTTTAAGAAGTTTATAAACCACTGCACTAGATGGTAGTGCTTCCCCCACCACTCTCCTTAATGGAGGCACTGGGGATTGAACCCAGGACATTGTGCATGCCAAGAATGCACTTTACCACTGAGCTATAAATATATACAGTGCTTCTAAGGACAGATGAGCTTAAACAAACAAGCACATATCCTACATTAAAGTTTCTGTTTAAAAACTGAGTATCTCTCTTTCTTTTAAAATAAACAAGTTTTCTTTACAGTTTCTTTATTTGAAGGAAACTTTTGGTGGTTTCATGGGCACATATGTGACAAAATTTATCAAACTGTACAATTTAAATCTGTGCGGTATGTCAATTACACCTTAATAAAACTGTTTTTTTAAAAAAAGAGTATGATGCATACATAGCTCAAATACACATCCTAAAAAAATTCCATTGATATTGATACTGGTGACAAGTAGGAAGAATCTAATTGATCAGGACAATTATTTATAAAAAGTACTGAGCACCTAACAAATGTAATTCACAGTGTGTGTGTATGTATGTGTGTGTGCGCTGGGGGTATGTGTGTATGTGCTGGTGCATGGGCAGGAGACGGGAATATTGAAGAAAAGAGTAAGTCATGTTAGCTGAACTCAAGTGAGTTAAAAATCTAACAGGAGAGAAGACAAAAAAACTTCCAACAAATTGGCAATAAACCATATGTCAAATGAGTGAAACACAGAGGAAAACAACTATTACTGCAGAGTGCGGCAGTCAGAGAGCTTTGTGAGACAAGTAGGCAGGGGAGACAGGAACATGAATAGGCCCTGGGAAGTTTTATTAAAGGGTCAGAGATACTGAGTCTGGTTGAAGCAAAGGGTCTTTGTAAGCCTGAATGATGCATTAACTCACATGACTTGGATTCTTTAGGCAATGGTATTTAGCTTGTATAGGGGCCGGAAATGGGGATTATCAAATTCAAACAGACAAAAAGAGGAAAAGATTCTGAGCAGGTCAGTGACAGGATAAAAGGTGGCATTTAGAGAAAATTAATCAGTAAGTTTTAGAAAATGGAAAGGCACACAGAAAAACAAAGATGAGATGATTAACTTAGGGTTAAAAAGGGAAAAAAGGCCAAAAGTAGGAAATGAAAAAAGACAGAATTCCAGAAATGGTTAGATTAGGGATGGGTAAGGGAAAAAAAAATGAGGATGACTCGTCTGGTTTTAGGCCTAAGTACATTAAAATGGTGCAGCTGACAAAAATTGAGAAGCCACAGGGAAAAGTAGTTTACTTTTGGAAGACAAGGATGGTGGAATGAAAGCTGGTTTCAGATATGGTCAACTTAAGGAATTAATATGATATTGAAGGAAAAATCCCATTAATTAGCAGTATGTCTGTACATCATGAGGTCAGGACTAAAATCTGCATTTTGGAGGCAGTAAAGGGATATTGTGAATGTGATTAAACATTCTTGGGGATGAAATAATAAACATGTAGAAAACTACATAGAGACTATCCATGATAGAAGACAGGATCAAAAAGACAGGCTATGAAAGGGAGAGAGATGTTTCCCTGAAGAGTTCCAGGTAAGCAGTAGGAACTCAATAAATACTTATGGACTAGAAGAATGAATAAATGCAAAAACATTCAAACATAAAAAGTGAACTAGAACAGTAATGTTAAACGCAGCCAGAAAAAAAGATCCACGGGACAGTGGTTTGATAAATACTAACTGCTGCAGAGAAAACAACAACAAAAAACACAACAAGAACAAAAACCCTAAAACACTGAAGATGTTACTAATGATCTAAGCATAAAAAGTTAGTAGAACAGTGATAAAGACCAGACCACAGACAATTCACAAAGAAATGAGTGGCTAAATAAAAAAGCAGAAGTAATATTTCCACAAATATTTATTATGTGCCTTTAATGTGAGTGCTAGGCATTTTTCTGAATTCTCAGAATAGATAACTGAACAAAATAGAAACATAAATCCCCACCCTCATAGAGCTTCCATTCTAGTGGCAGCAGGGTAAGAGGTAGACACACTCATAGTAGATAAAGGAGCAGATATAATTATATCATTCAGAGTCTTGGCAGAGGAATGAGACAAACTGGGTAGTAGCATGAGAAACCATCCAAGGTCCCAGTTTTGAGGGCATCCAGAAAAAGTTCTCATCACAGCCCATGTTGATTGTTTCTTGGATTGGCAAACTGATCACGGAGAGAAGAGCTAGCTAGATGAACCATATCAAGTAGGATGAACAAACGTAGCACCATACCTGGTTTGAGATGCTGGAAACTGCTGCTGCTGGAATATTGGCAATTGTAGATGAAGTGGATATCAGGCTGGCATTTGTGCTTGAAGCTATAAGATTCAAAGTGTTAAAAGATATTAAAGATAATATGCAAAAGGCTAAAAGAAATTGAAATGGCAAAGGAAACAAATACTACATGCTGGTTTTGCTCTTTTGCATGCCATACCTTAATTCAGATTTGATTAGAAATAAAACAGTTCACACATTTTTCTGTTTCAATTTGAGTTGTCAACTCTTCCTAACATCCTAGAAGAATACAATACAAAGCACTAGTTCATACTAATGATACCAATGAAATCAGAAGCTAAACCGAATCACTCCAGTCCATCTTCTCCAGCAACTGAAAATTAACTCACCTGCAGTGCGACCTACTGACATCAGTAGAAACAAGAGTTCTGGTAAATCCACGTGCAATTCCTATTTACTGTCACTTGCCCCAAATTATGCCTTTCCTGATGCAACACAACTACTTTGAGAAATCAAGGTGGTTCTCCAAATTCTAAAGTCTTGGAGTTGCTTCTTGGGCTCTACTCAAATAATAGATTATTAATGTGGATCAACAAACACCATGTTCTGGCATTTAATGATTTTACCAAAACCTGCAAAAACTTGGAAAATATTAAATATTATTCTGGTCAGGTAAAAAATTTACTTTACACAAAAGCTACTTTGACTGCCTGTCTCAGGATAAGGAATCTGGGTTAAGTTTTTCACACCCTTCTATCACAGATTCCACCAGGGTATTAATCAAACCCTCAGTAATTAGTATTTGCCACAGTGATTTTTTTTTTCAGGTGGCCAATAAATGAAATTGTGAGGTACTGCTCTTGAACTACTCTCCTTCACTTATCTTAAGCACATTGATACACGGTTCCTACTGCAGTCACACACACCATAAAGGTTCACCACCAAGTAGGCCAGACTATCTGACCACCGAGTCCATCAGCAGCAAAGTCCTCTAGAGGGAAGCTATTCGGAAAACTTCCATTAAGAACAGTGCAGGGAATAAATGCAGCAGAAACTTGAGAGTACTGGTCAAAATCAGAGTGAATTTTTATCCCTTTCCCCAAGAGTGCTCTGCTTAAAAGAAAGTCTACAAGAGATTGAGGTAAATTAGATATAAGGAACAGTGATTGCTGCAACCCTAAACTCTCAGATTAAGAAACCTGGGACAAAGAAGAGATGGAGTAATTTGCCCACTATCACAGAGTCTATCTAGTGGCAGAGAGTCAATATGACCACTGGAATATCTCCCAATTCTTCATCCAGTGCCCTTTCCTCAGAGTCAGTGGCTGAGCTAGGGAATCAGATTTTCTCACTCTCCAGGGAGATTTTCTTTTCTATAGTACTCCTTCCTCCAGGTGAACTAAAGGACTGTTAAGAGTTTACTTTCTTAAGCACAACAATTAAATGAGATTGATTTTATAAACTTACAGATGATACTTTCTTCCCACCAATATTTTTTCCCCTAAAGGGAAGTCCTAAGAAATCACTGTATATAAGCTGGATGACTTTTAAGTAGTTTTTAATCATTCTTGTGGGAAAACAATTTTGAGTAGATTCCAGATTCTATTACCAGTACATGCTAGGCAGGCCCACTGGCTGAACACAGGTGATTTAATGTGGGAAAGAAAAGAATTTATTTTATCTCTTAAGTTTATCTTTCCCAGTAAAGTCCATTTCTAGCTCATTTTTTTCTTTAGCCCTAGTCCTAGTACATACTCCTCTTTTCTACTTTAATTCTATTCTACTTTCTTAATTTATATCTGGTCAGAGGTACAACTCATTCATACCTGATCTTTTACACACTTGGGGATAAAGGTACCCTGACTGACAAGGTGGTTTTATAAATTTAACAATTTTCAGACCACTTACTGAATTGGGTTAGAGGTTAAAAAGGGAGACCTTACAAACAATTGGCCACATACTCTAATTATCCCTGACAAGAAGTTCAATGACTCGACTAGCTAGCTGTTGATCCCGAGTTTTTAACAAGTACTATGCTAAAAATCACAAATTCCTCTCAGCAATAGTGGCTTCCATCATAGGAAATGTCGGTCTGGTAACCTAGAAAGTTTATAGGGCTCAATAACACTTCTTTCTCCAATCCAATCAAATCATTTCTAACACATGTAATTCACTCATTCATTCAGCAAACGAGGGTCTACTATGTGCACAGAAACTATTCCAGCCACTGAGGAAAAGAGTAGTGAACAAGACAAAGCCCTGCCCTCAGGGTGTTTAAATTCTAGTGATAAAAGCTGGACAGTAATTAAATATATATTTATTTAGGCTCTTGTAATCAGCACTGAGTCAAGCTAAACTCACCTAAAAATACACACAATCACTGCATGCCCTACCTACCACACAGCTATGACTGAAAAGCCAGGGACCTCAAAAAGAAGGAAAAATAAAAGAAAAACAAGTACTGATTACATATATATACATATATATATATATATATGTATATATATGTAGGTCTCAACAACAAAAAATTCAATTGCAGATTTAAAAAACAAAAGCAGCAGCAATAAAATATGCAACAAAAAGAATAAATTTAGAGGATCAAACAAAACTCAAGTGGTAACTCCTATTGCTATATATCTAAAAACTATTAGCTCTCCAAATGCCAGTGGTATGGCCAACTGTTTCTGGATAGTTTCCACTCCTGTTTCAACAATGGAGCTGTGAAATCATAGAAAGACAAACATTCTGAGAGCCAGGCCCCACTAGAGGTCCACCTGATATAGTCAAGATACAGATAGCTTTAATCTTTGAAGATTGTGGTTATAAAACTGTGAGAAGTACGGCTGAATTAAGTGACATTGCCCCACTGCAGGAGGGTAAACCTGAGGGTTAATGTACATAAAAGTTGGTGCAAGATTTAGTTTCTACCCACCTGTCTAATTTTACTTATGTCTTTCCACTACTCTTGCTCAACCTGGCTTTTGAGTTACTCAAAACAAGAGAGGTTCTTTCCACTCAAGGACCTTTACAACATTGCTCTCTGCCTGGATCATTCTGCCTGGTCTGTCCCTCTTGCCCTCACAGTATGATGGCTCCTGCTCAGTATGTCTACTTCCACAGACAGACTCTCTCTGACTCCTCTATTAAAGCTAACTCTTTTCTTGTTTTCCCAATCATAGCAACCAATTCTTTTTTTCCTTTCAGAACACTTTTCAAAATCTATTTATTTACTTGCTTGTTTTCTGTCTCCCTCACTAGTCTGTAAACTCCATGAAGGCAGAATCTTACTCTTATTCACTACCTCCAATATCTAGCAAAGCACCCGGTCTACAGTAAGTAATGCTCAATAAATACTCATGGGATTTATGAGTAGCATGTCAAGGTCATCAAAAAAACAAGCAAAGTCTGAAAAACTGCACAGCCAAGAGAAGCCTAAGGAGACATGACAATCAAATGAAACGTGGTGTCCTGGATGGGGTCCTGGAACAGAAAAAGGACATCAAGTAAAAACCAAGGAAATGTGAATAAACTCTGGATTTAGTTAATAATAACATACCAATTTTGGTTTATTAACTGTAACAAATGTTCCATTCTAATATGAGACTTTAAAATAGGGAAAACTGTGTGTAGGGTAGGGAGAATGTATAAACTCTGTATTATCTGCTTAATTTTTCTACACATCTAAAACTATACTAGAAAATAAAAGTCTATTAAAAAACAAAACAAATCTGGTCAGTGAAAGACGACTGTGTGTTACGAACAATATTAGAGCCCAAAGAAATTCACTGAAAATCGAGACTGGGTTAAAATTAATTTGGAAATATCTGAAATTAATTTTGCTACTTGAATTTTATCATTTAAACCATCTCAACTGAAGAAAATATACAAAGATTGGGCCATAGAGTCACAGACACTCCAAATTGATACAAAGAAGCCAGATCTATTTAATCAAAGGGTCTTTATGAGGATTAAAGTATAAACTAAAGAAAAGGTTCTGATCAGAGTTGATCAAGCCAGAAGTGGTATTATCTTTTTGAGATAATTACCTTAATTTCCCTGGGAAGATGGGCTACTGTCAATTGTTGAATGCTCTGGAGGGGATAAGGGGACACTGCTATTATGACCACTTTAAAAGAAAAAAATCAACACGACGCTCCTTGTTTTTATTCTGTGGAACGACTGGGTACTTACATAGGGGGAGGATGATACTGATAGTGGAGAATTCAGGTAATTCAAATGTGCCAATAATACCCATATGCCATTTTAGCCAACTGTTTCAACCTGTTTCCTACCAATTTTTTTTCCCAGAATAAATGCAAAAACGGATAACCTGATGGCCAACTTCTTAATCTCTACTGTGTTGAAGTTCTAATGAATAAAATGGGCCAATAGGTTAATCAGAAAAGGGAAGGAAAATGAATTCAAATATTTGCTACTATAGGTTCTCAATTACAGGAGAGTTGATATTGATATCATGATTTCAATACTGAAAATCATAAATATTATACTAATGTGCTGGAAGCAGACTGAACAGCTTACATTCTGACTTATTTACTAACTTTGGAACTTGGACAAGTCACTTTGTGTCTCATGTTCCAAATCTGTAAAATGAGATTAATGACAGTACTTCCCTCATAGGTGTGTTGTGAAGATTACACAAGTAACATCTATCTATTGCTAAAACAATGGTAAGCACATAATAAGCACTTAACAAATACCAATAATGATCATTATTAGCATAATGGGGGGAACTGGGTTAATTGATGAAAAGGGAAAAAATGCATTAAAAGGTAATAAGATAATGGTTAATGAAGTTTACAGAGTATTTTCATGACTCTTTTAAAGCAATGGGTCCTAAAAGATCCCCCAAAAGATGGTACCTCCTGTTTTACAAGGAGGGGAAAGAAAGTATAGCTATCAGTTCCTCAAGTTTAAGATACAATGACAGAGGATTGGTGGTTCTACACCTTGTGAGAGGATTGTTAGTATAAAAGAAGAGAACCCCTTGCTTTTCTTTCATGACTTAGGTGTAGTCATCAGGGATGCAGCTGTTTAGGAGGGACTTAGCTACTAGATTTGCCTGCAGTTGGACATAAAAGGTCTACCAACCTAGAGAAATACTTTATAAAACTGAAAGAGGGTAGAGAAGACAGACGAAGTCACACTCTTGAATTTTATCTTCCTGATTTGTTTCCATTTTAGAAAGCAAGAAGGTGGAGGGGACAAAAAAAAAAAAAGCGAAAATGAATAAGAAGAGACTCAGTAAACAGTAAGAGGTAAAACGGTAGCTCAGAGCAAGGCCTTAACAATGTGGTGACCAGTTCTGTTCCCAATGGACCAAGAACAAGTAGTTGGTAATCATTTTATCGAAAACAGTTAAAACTGAAAATCAAAATGTCGTTTACTATGATCCATATCAAAACATTTTTCATCACTTAAGTTCATAACTTAGGAGTATCTCAGACCAATTTCTGCTACCCTCACCCTCTAGCACCATTTTATAATGAATAAAATTTTAAAGCAGGGAGAAATCAGAAGAAAGGAGGCAGATGAGAAGCTAGGTACATGGACATTAATTCTCAATCTGGAGCAATGACAAATTGCCTGCACTGAACTTGGAAGGGTAGGGAAGTGACTCCATCGTGCCTTTTTTGAGTTTCTCTGTCTTCATTCCTAATAGTCCTGTCGTAATATTAACCATTTAGAGGAAGAAACAGGAAGGCAGAGATGTTTAGAGTGTAAGCTTTAACGCTATGCTTTTCATCATGAAATAGAAACAAGTGAACTTTCTGAACAAGAAAAATGCTCCCACCAAGTAGTAGTAAATGGGAGTGGAGATATGACTAAACCACAGCAGAAAAGCAGCACACATGTCAAAAAGCAGCACTCATCTTACTTTCTGTTCTGCTTGGACTGCACATAAAAGAAGTGAGCAAAGTTCTAACCCATGGAGTCTTCTGCTTATTTACAGGACAAAATGCCACTGAGACCAGACTAGAACAAAGTCAGGCAGGTTTTCTGGACACCAACATGCAAAAGGGGAGTCTTCAATTCTACTAAGCAGTTCATAGTTAGAGGCTTAAACTACCTATGAACCACACTCCTAGGTTCTAGTTTGCCTAATACAAAAAGCATGCACAAATGCAAATATCCTGTATTACCCAGTATATTTGGAGATACAGGTAGATTGAAAACAAAAACAGTAATAATTTTTTAAAAAACAAAACACACACAACCATGCCTATTTACCTTGAATGGGATAAGAATAATGTGCTGGGCTTGGCTGGCTTGTGGTTAACCCTGTAGTGCAGGTAAGAACACTGTGTTGACTTGGAGATGGAGTCTGAATTAAACCACTTTCAGGTTTCATACCTGGCCACAATGCACCTGAATCAGATAAATTGGACCAATTACAAACAATACACTGGGACTGAGGAGCATGGTTATGCTTTCAAATATCAGCCAGTAGGTTTAAAATCTAAACCTTAAAACAAAAGTAAATTTGCTTGTAAGAGAAAATTATTGATTCTCCCACTTGTAATATACCACAAGCAAATACATTTCAAAGAACTGGGGAGTGGGGCCACAGAAACAAAAACCTTGTCAAAAACCCCAATAGTGAAATGTATATAAATTCACTTCATTGGTGGAGAAAATTGACCAGGATTCAGAAAAAGAGCCACTGACACCCATCTGTTGTTGTAAAGAGTGCCTGATGTTTGTGTACAGTGATAAATCATTTATCTGCATCATCAAGGTGGGAGACATTCCACATAAGTTTAAAATTCACTTACCCATTAAATAAGCACCAAATTTTTCTAAAATGTAGTATATACCCCTCTGCCTTCTTAAGCTGGTTATTTTGTTACCTTTGTTTCTTCTGATTAGGAAAGACATACCTGCTTATTTTTATAAATTGAAAATATCACAGAAATACGTAACTTAGAAAAAACAATGTCATATATAATTTCATCATCCAAATTTAACCACCCATTCACAGTTTGCATAAGAGTTATTCAGGTTTCTCCTGTGTTTACTAATCTTTTTTCTTCTTTTTAATAAAAATGGGATGTTACATGCTGTTCATAATTTGCTTTTCTACATAATACGTGAAAGACATCTTTCTCTGTCAGAACATAATAAATCCATCTCATACTGATAGATTTCATAACTGTTCACTTCTATTTTATCACAGTGCTCCTGACTGACAATCTTTCTAGAATATATTTATATCCTTTCCTGCCTTCTTAGCAGGGAGAAGATAGAACATACCTTTTCTCAGAATTATTGTTACCAAGATCAATATGGTGCTGTGCTATGTACATTACAGAAACATCCCCAGAGGCTATTGTGATATGTGAAGACATCTGCCTAGTACTAAACAGAACTCAATTACACTTCTATGATTTTTAGGCTTTATACCACTTTGTCTTTTCTCTGTGATCTCTTACTTCTTG